CGTAAACTTGTTGATGCTCAGTATAGATGATAATAAGATTACGAACATGAAACCTTGGTATGGCGTCATCATGATAATATGATTAGGAAATTTGTCTGGTAGGTATTAATCATAACATATTTTTATTATTATTCTCATTCGATTTTTATTCATACAATTTGTACTAGAAACTATTTAAAAAAATAACGATACTTTTAAGGTAGGCATAGTTATTCAGAACGAATTAATTATATTTACACGTCTATCCACTACGAAATTTAATATCTATTATACATAGATCAACACAAAGACGACACTGAAACTAGCGTGCCGAAATAAATGCTATCAGAGTTTTATTTAAACGAAATTTACAGTATAATAACTAATAAGTAATTCATTATTTGACTTATTTAATGACTTTCAAAACAATATGTCACATTAAAAAATAAAACAAAAATCTACTAAAATAAATAACTGACTCATGAATTAAAAATATTTCACGGAAAGATATATTTCACTTCTAAAAGACGACTCGAAAGAAATTAAAAAATGCTTTTAGATCTGAGTACAGTACACAGTAGTGTGTGGCTGAATTGAAAAAAAATGAATCGATTGAATTTAAAAATTAAAAATATTTAAAAAATTCTACACCTACCAGTTTTTTTTAAACGAAAATATTACGATTTGTATTTTCAAAACTAGTAGTGAGATACCTAAGAAGTAAGAAAATATATACGAGTTCACTTTAAAGTAAAAATGAAATTGACCTTAGAATTGACCATTTTCACATAGAAGCGTCTCGTTACCTTTTCAACAGTAGTGACACACTAAATAATGATCATTTCGCATCCTTTCATACGATACGCACACATGAGCTTAGAAATTGGGAATGACTTATGTTGACTCCTCATGAACGGCTGGTATCGGATTCAATATTACTGAGTGCAGACACCGTGACACGATTTATACAAATTCGTTTTGTTGTAGTAAAAATAATAATTATAATAATAACGTCAAGGCGGGTGTATAAGGTTGGTTCACACAACAGTTCAAAACATAACTCTTATAAAAATATTCATTAATATTATAATTATAGGTATACCTATTTCTATATTATTATCTTAAATTAGTTGTTAAGTTGTGTAACAAAAAAAAAAATTACATTTATTGATTGGCGAATCATCAATTGGCAGACTCAGCTTACATTGGACAAAATATGCTATAACAAATGCAATTGCTAATTAATTAGTTATTGTGATTATTTGTTTTCAACTATCGATAAACACATACATATATTGTGAAATACAACAAATTATTATACCTACCTAATTTGGTAATTTTTGCATTACTGCATTTTTGTATTTCTAATTATAAATAACAACACTGACAATCAATTCTAGATGGATTAAATACTAAATAATAATCCTATCATAAATCATATTAGCGTGGTATAATACTCATATAAAATTATTATCGTTCGTGTTAACGATGTAATAATACAGAAAACAGGACTTCATACATTTGTGTAGGAATTATATAGGGCGTATATAATATTATCCTATAGTTGTATGACATACTTACATATTTCAGTGAACATTTTCAAGACCTCCCCATCTGCGCATTATGTGCTCAGGGTGATTCACCAAGCATGCTCCCCCATTTCCACATCAATAATTTATTTATTCAAATTCAAATTTTTTTATTTTTAAGTTTACTCCAGTGCTAAATTTTCAAATGTAGGTATTTTATTCTGCTTTGATTATCACATTTGTATTATCTTTTGTAATTCGATTGAATCGTATTGCCGCTCGATATCCGATGGATATATTTAAATATCTTTATTTTCTTATATTCTACTTATTTTTTATAAGCTCTCTGATATTATTATAATTTACGGGTACATAAGATAAATTGTATTATATTGATGAGGAAGAAATGTGACAAATTGTAACCTTGCACGTATGGTAATTATTACTATAGCTTTTGTGTTATGGATTACCAGAAAAACCAACGTTGAGATTGCAAGATGGGATGCAACAACAGAAGTAGTTGTTCTAGCCTCGGGGCTTCAATAATTTGTAACAGTAAATGCTATGGAAGCACTTCATGTCAAAATAAATAATATTGTTTTTTTTTTTTTTTTATAAATATTCTGTTCTGATAATAATTAAAACAAGTTTTTTTTTGCAATAGTTTTATATATTTTTTTTTTTGCATATTTTGAGTAAAATAAGTTAAATGATACGACACTATCCGACTTAATATGATAATGATGGTTACCAAGGTTAATAACCGGTATATAACATTATTCGCCGTTTAACATAATTTACCGTAACATTATTATTTAAATAAAAATTTAAACGAGTAGTTATTGAATTATTTAAGTTTAAATACCTACTGAGGATAATATGTTTTAAAAATATAAGTGATTATGGTTTAAAAAAAAAATAGTGTGTAAAATGACTAATTAATAATAATTTATTAAAATTTTATAATTTGTAAAAATTGTCCCGAGTATTATAAGTTCTAGGTAGGTTGCTATTTCAATATTACACCACAAATCTATTTGGCATTTAGTGTAAAATCATTATTTAGAGATATACCTATTAATATTATTTAGTAGGTACAATATAAGTTACACAACTCAGAAACTACAAGTTCGAATTTTGATTTAGATATGAATAAAAAGTAACCTGTTTAACTATTTAAATTTTAAAGTAGAAAAGAGGTATTATATTTTGAAAAAATAAGTTTTTAAGGGCACATGACACTTGTTGAATAATAACATTTTAAAAATAGAGTTTGCATAAATAAGGCTGTGTAGGTATAAATTTTAAATATTTAGGATGTGCCTATTCGGCATCTCGTCGTGAAGTTCAAAATATAGAAGACCATTTGAAAAAAAATCAATGTTGATAGTGATTTCAAAATTATAATAGTGCTGTTTTTACACTAGTGTAAAATTCTATTATGTTAAATAAATTTTAAATTCCATTATTTAACACTTCATATTAAAATCTCAGTGATATATTATCGATATCTAACTACAATGGTCAAATGGTTATCAATTATTATTACAATTAAAATGTTAAAAATATGAAAAAGATTACAATAGCTAACATCAATTTAAGTTCTAATTATGTCTTCCAAGGTAATGTGATCAAATAAAAAACACAACAAATTATAGAAGACACGATGTAAAGGCAACTTTAAAGTAAAACAAAATAGAGGAAATAGAAAAATGTGTTACAATACCATTTACCTGAGTTCACTTATTAAAAAAATACTGTGTGTCATGTAATATGTATATCTGTATTCTATAACTCAATAATATATAATATTCATTTATTATATTAGTATTGAAAAATATTCTACGATATCAAAATTTGTCAGTGACAATTTTAATGGGCACTATATTTTAGGTTTGTACATGAAAAACACATTAGCTAAATGAGTGCAACCACCAAATGACGCACGAACGACGAAGTGAATAAGTCTTTAATATATTATTATATTATACATTTTAACCGACTAATAACCTCATTGTTAAAACCTATTAAATAGTTTTTGAAAAATATAAATATTTTAAATGAAACATAATCAGTCCAGGTGGTATTTATAAGTGTTGTGTATACAATTTTGTAACTGTAATTTTTATTATTATTATTATTATTATTAATATAACGCCACTGACACAAAAAACCCTCCTTCATACTAAAACTTGATTTTTAAGCTATAGAAGACGTTAAAAAACAAAATAACCTAATTTCCATTTGCCAATGTTCTACATTCTATAGACATACATTTTATGAATCGATGAATGTATTGGATTTAGGTACAGTTATGGATGTTTAAAAAAAAAAAAATTTATCATCCACATTTTAGAGTAGTGAAAATGCTTCAAACTTCAATTCTGAAGGTGGTTTCTGGGGAAAATTGTATCAAGTTGATCCCATGCAATACCGCTGGATGTGTTTGAATCAACGACGGGATATAAAATAATTAACATTTTTATAGATATAGATTCAAAAAAAAAAATCCGGTTAACTATTATATAGTTACCTGCATGTTATACTATAGTTTTTAATCTTTATTATCGTACTTAACGATTATTATTACGACTGTTGTTGTTCACACGCGGATGTAAGTCTTATGATGATAAATGTACGTAATAAATTATATATGGGTAAATTCTCATTTATTTTTTTCGCCGAAAAATATCGCGAAGGTCGCTGGATGGTTGATGGTTAGACGATGAAGTGAGGGGTTAAAGTAAGATTAATACAATAATGTTTTACTATTTTCCGATAATATATTAATTTAAAATATGTACCTAGTACCTATACTATTATAATGATTGCGATACAATTTATTTTTTGTTTCTGTTTTTGATCTCAATCGCCCACCACCGTATATACAATAATATGTATTATACTATGAACCCATTGTAATTATGCATTACTCGTATAATATGCTTTTTCGCCTCGACCTGAATCAATTATCACTACGGATCTTCGACCTTTGACCTTTCGGCCGAGGGAGAGAGAGAGAGGGATAGCGAGGGAGAGGGCTATTGCTATCAGTCTGACGGAAAAACCGAAAAATACGCGTATACCCCGTATACACACGCATGAGCCAGGAGATAAATTAATATAATATTATATTAATATATATTATGATAATAACAACCATAAATAACAAAACAACTTGTGAATAACAACGATAGTAATATTATCATCGTCGTCTTTGCATAACATATAACAACTGCTGACCAGTTTTAGTGATACTGCCGCAACCACCACCGCCACCACCGTCTCGTCATCATATCACTACCACGGCCACGATTTATGTAGTGAAAATACGTATACATTTATTGCAAAAAAAAGGTTCGGATGCATTGTAGGCGTATTCCGTACTAGATTAACCTCGGCCGGTCATTAAATCATGATATACAATATATTTTATAATAATATATATATATATATATATGTGCGTGTATGCATATACTAGCGCGTGCGAAAAGCCCGTCCGCAGACATCGTTTATAAGACAGTGCTCGGCCGACGAATGTTCGCAGTCTCAACCCGAAGATTACTAACAGTCTTCCAACGTCCGCTAAACTCGTCTTGTGAAGAAACACTACACGCTCACTCATCAACATGAATCGTCTGGTAATTATTATTATAATACCTACTTATTATAAATTATATCGTTATACAAGCAGCGTTTATTTAGAACCGTGTTTGTACCAAGTCTGTTACGATTTTCGGTGAAAATATCCGAGTTCATTCAAAATATTATTGTTCCCACACGATTATCTTTTAAGCTCGTTCCTATACAGTGTTCAGTACAATAAAAATCATACATTTTAATAATACATACGCATTGTAGTACCCGTACTATAATGCTTTGAATATTTTTATTTAAATATTTAATGCATAGCATGAAATATTTTAAGAATCTAGTTACTGTCTTTAACGTAGTTTTCAATATTTCTCTGCAGTCTCCTGTACCAGTCATATTGTTCGGATGTGGGTTACCTAACGAATATGTTTTTAATATTTTTATATTTAAATGTTTTGAATAATTTTTTATTTTGTTCTCGTCGCCGAGCTTGATACCTCGTCAGTTAAACTTAAATCATGTACTACTCACTCATCGAACAACCATGCAAGCCACAAATAAACAATCTGTTTCCTCGACCATTTCAGCTTTGTACCTACGTTTTGATATTCTTTTGAAACACAAATTAAAATTGTGACTGCGAAAGAAAATTACTTAAAAAAATTGTATACCAGGCACGATTTTGCAGTTTTATTATAGTTATTTCATTACCTACGCGAAAGATTTTTAGTTTTTAATACATATTTTACGTAGATGATTGTATATAATAATAAAAATAATAAAATAATTCAATATTTCAAAATAAAATTGTATTCAAAGTTCAGTGTGATAGCTAAAAATAAATCTTTTTGAGTGCGTAATATATATGATTTAATAATGAGTTTAATATTTAATTGAATTTTGACATAAAATAATTCATTTTTAGAAAAACACAAAAATTATTATACATTTTACAGCTTATTTTAAATTGTAATAACAAATTAATTCTGAAACAAACGTTTTTTTAAAAATAATAATATGAATGAATATTTTGTTTTAGTTTTTAATATTCTTCTAATATTATTATTGTGATTTAAAATTTTAAAAAAATTAAATATTATATGATGCATTCAATTTCTTGTCAATGCTTAATAACTTATAGAATTTTTCTTTCACCATAATATAACATATACAAAGGTAATTTATTTAAAGGCTCATCATATATTATTATTGTTTTCATTCAACTACCACAGTCATCATTGATTTTCATCAATGCCGAGCATGTTTTTTTTCTCTAATTATTAAAAAAAGTATTATCTCCTCTCTTCTGATGGTATTGTTACACGGCGATTTATTTTTCATTAACCTTCTTATATTTAAGAAAACAACGTTTATACTCTGATATCGTTGAATAATTTACCTACCATAAATATGTACAAATACACCTATCCTATGACGTAAATAATTGATTAAAAATTTCATAACTTAGATGTGTGTACAATGTACAACTATTACTATTGATTGACTATTAAATTTGTTATTTAAATGTATTTATTGTCTTTTCTAGTCAATCGTATTGGTTATCGCATTGGTCGGTTACTCACTGTGTGAACCGGGATATGGTGGTGGTTCACAAAATAGTGGAAATCAAGGCGAATACCAACAGAGTGGTCATGGTGGCAGTGGAAGCCAAGGATTTGGTAGCAACCAAGGACATGGTAGCAACCAAGGATATGGTAGCAACCAAGGATATGGTAGCAACCAAGGACATGGTAGCAGCCAGGGACATGGTAGCGGCCATGGACATGGTAGCAACCAAGGATTCGGTAGCAACCAAGGACATGGTAGCAATCAAGGATATGGTAGCAACCAAGGACATGGTGAATACCAACAACAGGGACAAGGTGGAAGCCATGGACATGGACAACAATATGGCAGTAACCACGGTTCAAACAATCAAGGACACGGTGGACATGGTTCAAATCACCACGGACACGGTAGTGGCCATTACTAAAACCACAATCGCCAATCGTAAATGCCATCCAAATCCCACTACATCACGTACTTATGACTTAAACGTCGTATTTTAATACAGTTGTCGACTCGTAACATAATTTATTTCATTATTATTTATACCTAAATTGTAAATTTGTTCATAATACTGTACCTATACATTATTATATAAGATTTCGAATTGTAAAGATTATACTCAAACAATTAAACATTTTTCTATAAAAAACTAAAGTATTTTTTCATTTAAATAATTTATAGTTCGGAACAAATAACGATCATAGACCATTAGATGAGAGTACGTTGTGCACGGTCGTAGTATAATAAATTTATAAGTGCATATTACTCTACATATTTGGACATTAAGTATTTCTGCAATAGGCTATGTTATTTACGTGATTGATTCAAAAACTATTGTTTTGTCAAACAAATATTAAAACTGTAAGCAACATTTTTAAAAATAAATACCTTAATCGATATATTATTATATTATACTAACCTAAAAAATATGGTTCTTACCGTAATATTTTCTCACTTGTAGGTAATGGCTGCCTACAGGGGCTTTTCGATTTTATTGCATCTTCTTGTATATTTTGTCTTTTGATTCTTATCGTGGTCAAATGAAAAGTTATAAACCATCGATCATTTTGTATTTATTCTCCTATAAATAATTTATTTACGAACAAGTCGAGTAAGTGGCTTTTGTACTTGGTGTACTTGGTTACATTAAACAATTAATATTCCAAGAAGTGTTATAGATTTTCCAATTAAATCAATATTCAAAAAAGATTGGAAATATAAGCAAACAAGTTCCTATTTCATAGTAGATAAGCAATGCAATAAACAGATTAATGAATTATATTATTCTGTTTAATATTGTATACCTAATAAACTAGTTTGTCTCTAGAACCATCGGAGGAGTAAAATGTTCTTCATTATACAACATGTATTCTATATTATATAGTATGAATTATTCTAACAGTATTTTAGTAATTTAATATGTTAATATTACTATTATAGTTATTGAATATAAATATTATTCATAATCAATCATATCAATTAGTATATTATGTTTCTTTGGATACAAAATGTAACGATTGTAAATAGTATAAAGTACGAGTACGTCATCGTCTGACGTCTACACAAATAAAATCGTTGCCATCAAAACCGTAAATATAAATAAATCTATAAAGCCCGGTGACAGTATTTGTGCTGGAACCAATTTTGAAGAGTGTGCAATGCACTTAATACATAAAGCAAGTTAAGTACACAATATTAGGTGTTTGAAACTTTTAATCACATACTTTTAACACATTGCTTAACGAATTTATCTGCATAGTGGCAATAATAATTTTGCAATTCATGATTGTTCATAGAAAACTTAATATGTAACAGCTACATTTATCACATATTATAATACTTATATAGGGTTCCAAATTTGAAATATACCAATGAAATTATGAAAAATAATTTTTCTTCTTTTAAACATGGTCGGTTATAGATAATTAGAAATAATATTATTTTGATTATACTCAGAACACATTGATGATGAATAACTTATTAGATAAGGTTTGCGAAATACTTTAATACTTAATAGAATTTCATGCATCCACCGTTTTTTTTTAAGAGTTACATCCAAAAAACAAAATCGAATTTTTCGAAGATCGGCTTGCATAAAAATTTCAGTTTTTCCTTAATTTGTATTTGTTTTTATTGACGCTTTTGAAAACTACTGGTAACTACCCTCCCCCTCCCCCAAGTATCAACCTCATTAAATTTCCTTCTAGAAAAGATGATGAAGTAGAAAAACTCAAAACGTAATGACAGATACAAATAATAATAATAATAATAATAATAATAATATAACAAATACATATTATAATAATTATCATCATATATAGTACCTAATAATTATTACTACATACCTAATAAGTAATAAGTATTCGTTGTTTATTTTGGGCAAAAAATTAGTTGAACATTTATTTATACTACTTATAGAAAAACAAATTAACTAGTTATAGTCATTTTAACACATTATAAAATATATTCTTGGAAATAGAAGCAATAATAAAATACTGTCTCCTCTCCGGATCGTTTTTCATTTGCAAAGATTTATTATTGAATTCAAATTTAATACATGCATTACAGTGACCACAATGAGGAAGGAATACTCGAAATACACTCAAATGCATTAGACTGAGCTAAGAGTCTATTCCCCTAATTTTTGTTTTTTTGTCAAATTTATGTTTAAATCCTTTATAGAAGTATAGCCCTGTGTGGCGTAACTATAGGACCTTTTTTTAGGGGTTTTATGGATATTTGTCAATAATGGCATATCATGTATTTCATAAGTATAGCTTAAATAATTAAGCATTTATAAGTCTAAATGTCTATCCTGAAAAAAAAAACAATTCACTCATTTCTCTTAAACAGTTGTCGATACAGAAAGTGTAGGTACATAATATTTTTAGAAAATATTTTATATTTGGATAAATCCTATAAGTTTAGCAAAAGGGCACCATTGTTGTCCTGAAATTCAAATTATTATATTTTTTCACATTTTCAAATTTGTTGACACCATATTATAGACAGTCTCTAATGAGTATAACTGATGATGACTTAAAACTAATTATGTATATTCTTAAACAATTATTGTGGAGGTTGTTTTGTACTAACGATAATTAAATATAGAAAAGAACAGTATGGAGAGTGATAATATATTACATACATCACTCTCTTCATAGTTACGCCAGTGGCTCTACCACCTGGAATGTGTTATGCACATATGCGTCAACGACGAAGTTATAAAATAATGTAAATTATTATACCTATATATTGATCGAAAACAATTTGAATAGCCATGCACCTTCCTATAGTCTTCATTAGTGCACTATATAATATCGGTATAAAAACATTGCTACGTTATTATTACGAAGAATGTTGTTGTTCACGCGTACATGTATGTTTTGTGATAATGTATGCATGTGATAAATTACATAACGTGTGTAAATTCTCGGTTTTTTTGACGAAAATATTGCAAAGGTCGTCGAATGGACAATCGATGAAGTTAGAGGTTAAATTATGATTAATACAATATATTATAAATATTTTTCGATACTTAGTATATTATTTAGATCATATACTATGGATCAGTAGCGCATCTATATGATTTTTTCACAGAATTTATTTTAAAATCATAGATTTTAACAGACATTTTTGGTATACAAATATTATACATTCATATTATTAAATACATGTTAAAATGCGTTCAAAATATTGTCTCCAGGAAGGGGGGGGGGGTATAACCGCCGGTAGATACGCCACAGCTATGGTTGGATGTATAATATTGGATGAATATTAGATGCTTGATCTTGAGGTTGATGTGTGCATGCGTAAGACGAACCGTTAGTCGTTACGTGTTTTGCCATTAGTAACTGATTGATTTATACTTGTATAATATTATTATATAATGTCAAATAGACATTTTTCGTCGTTCATATGCAGTTTTTGTTTGTCTAATACAGAGCCTTGTCACTAATAACTTATGCTTCAAATTATCGTTTCACGAGTCCATCAAAAGTATATTATCTAAATTCTAAGGTGTATTATAATATTTTATGTGGGTGCCTACTTATTATGATGATTGCGATAAAATTGATTTTTTATTTCGATTTTTGATGTCAATCATAAAGTGTCCACCACTGTAAACACAATATAATATATTATACTGCTAGTATAATATGATTTTCCGCTTCGACCAGAATCAATTATCACCACAAAGTTGCATAGAGCGTGAGAGTATGTTAGTAAAACAGAGAGAGGATTAGTGAGAGGGAGGAAGAGTGCGCTCATTATCCTTCTGGTGGAAAAACCAAAAACACAACCAATTCTATGTATTAATATTATGTTTCCATTTACCTTAATATTTATTATTATAATAGTATTTATAACCATTAAAAGCAAAGCAAAGTGTAAATAACAACAATAATATAATGATCATCCTGGTTGGGATTTTATAGCACTTAAAATTGCACTTAATTCGTATTATTTCATCACTTCGATGATGTCGCTGCTCGCGTAGCATCGTATAGACACGGTCAATGTCCTTATTTAATTTATATTAACTTTTAAAGTTAAACAACGATTAAAATGTTTTTTTTTTTAAATACGGCCAATTTGTACAAAAAATTAGGTTAAAATTCAAAAACAAATTTGATGATAACTCTGCTATTCCTAAAGTACATTTTTTATAAAAAAATATGCAAATGCTATAAAATCCCAACCCTGTTTAGGTATCTATGTTGTCGTCTTTCAGTTTTTGCACAACATAAAAACTACTGATCAGTTTTGGTGATGTCCGTCGCAACCATCACAGACTCATTATCATTACCACCACTTCGATTTATATAATAAAAATATAAGTATATATATCGTATTTATCGGTTTAGATGCACTGTAAAGGTAAAGGTACCAAGTGGAGTGCCCATAGGGGGAGTGTTGTATTCCCCCATTGACTCATAAGCTTTTGTCAAGTGGTTTAAAAGTTACATGAACAGTAATATAGAGTCCACTCAAGTGCTATTTATTAAAGACATATCAATTCAAAAGGATAAAAAAGCGACATTTCTTTTCATGTACGCGAAATGTATTCGTTTAATATAATAGAGACTTGTTGTTATAATATGAACTTCAAATTATTACCTGGAGATTTGTATCCATAGTAGGCACATGCATGGATTTTTATTTTTTTTTAATTAGATTAACAAGTATACTAGAATGGCGTAACGTCTTAGCTCAGAATCGTGTTTAGTTTGCAAGTACATTTAACGTATTTATCGGTTTTGGTGCACTGTGTAGGGGTATAACCAGTGGCGTACCTAAGGGGAGATTAGGGGTTATATCCCCTCATTGTCCTTTTTTTCTGTCTTTGGTATTACCAACACGACTTATTTAAATTTATTATTACTTATAACACTACCCCTTCCTCTTTCCAATTGAAAATTCCTGCAGGTCACGCCTCTGAGTATTTCGTACTAGAATAATCTCGGCCTGGCATTAAATCATTATACCAAACAAATTTTATAATACGTATATTAAGATGATGCATAATATACTTGCGCGTGCGAAAATCCTGTCTGCAGGCCTGCTAGTTTATAAGACGGTGCACGTCCGACGAATGAACCCAGTCGCAACCAGAAGATTACTAATAGTCTTCCAACGTCCACTGAACTCGTCTTGCGAAAATACACTACGTATTCATTCGCCAACATGAACCGTCTGGTAATTATAATTTACAATACCTATTAAATGATATCGGTGTAGGCGACGTGTATCCCTAACCAATAATCGTGTTACCGTAAATGATTTTAGGCGAAAATATATAAGTACCTATCTATATTCAAAATACTATTGAACTCGATTATATTTTAAGCACACTCTTAGACAATGATTAATACCATATGAATTATAGATTTTAATAATACATAATGCAGAGTGTAACAGAAAGACATAACAAATAAAAAAAGAAATTTGACTGTTAAATATACACAAATATGTGTAAATTATATGAATAGTTAATAATTAAAAATATATACTTATGTCAGAAAATTCCTAAATATAATATTTTGAAAAAATAATAAGTTAAAAAAAAAAAATTTGATATTTTAAAAAATTATAAAATAAAGTTTAACTTAAATTAATGTTTTACCATAAAAATTTGTATCTGTATTAAAAAAAAAATAGATTAAAATAACAGTAATTTAATTTGTCAGGTCTGTTCGTCCCACTCTGTATACTTAATTATTTGTAATATAAATAATTATTGTATAGCATTAAACTATTTTTAAAAAATGTCCTAATGCCTAAAAAAAGTTTTCAATACATCTCTGTAGTTTCTTATAAGTCATATTCTGATGTGGGTTATCTGGCCTATCAGTAAATGATGTTTTAAAAATTTCAGATTCTGAGCGAAGCGATGAATTTATATTAATTTATAATGTTGTGTTTTTTCTCAAATTTCAAAGGCTTCGGGGAAAACAACAAAAAATAAGGGAAAACGGGATTTTTTAAGTAAAACTAATACTAAAAAAAAAATAACTGATTCATTTTTGATAGCGTCTGTTTTCGGTTTTTTTAAAATTCGACAATTTAAAATTGTTATATATATAGTGTATACTATCATATCAGTTACAGTTGTCTTATTTATTAGTACACACTTCTAAAATATGTTGTGCACACTTCCAATGTCGGACTTTACGCTTTGTGTTGGAGTTCACCAAAAAATAGAAGCTGCATATTACAATTATTATTATCAACAATTATTATTGTAATCTTAATCGTGATGTGTACGTCAAAATAACACATTAGTGCGACGGTAACAGCAGCGATGCGGATAACTTTTGGTGCTCGGGAGAAAGGGAGTGATAGGGTTCCGTGTCTCCTTGTTGGCGTGACGGCAGTACCGGTTATCGAGTACTTTCTGAACTCCGACCAGTAGTTGAGATAAGGTAACGCACACCCGCGGTATGTATCCCCACATACATTTCTCTTGTTTGGGTGAATTTTAAAAAAATTGTTTATTTAGTGCAAACAAAAAATTATCGAGGATTCGTGATTTTTTCACAAAATGTCTGTATTAGTATTTTTTTACATTATAAAATTATCATAATATTTTGACTCTTTGTAAGCTTTTTATAGGCATAAGATATTTCAATTTCTATAAGATTTTTTTTTTTTTAATTATTGTACGTAAATAAATGTTTGCTCTTTTAATAATTTTGAAAATATAATAACAGTTTCCTTATATATGTTTTTGTTAGTGTAATTAAAACAAAAATGACTGAAAGTTCACATTAGTTTTTTATAAGTCGAATGTTGTCCACGTTAGATATTCCCCCTTATACTAACGATTTTTCTTGGAACGATTACATGATTTTGTTGTAATTCAAAAACACATAAAAAAGATACCAAATTTTAATTAGATTAGCATTACCTATACACGATGTAATTTCATAGACATATTAAGATAATATCTTTTTTTTTAATTTTTTACTATAAACATTTACATTTTGTTAGGTAAGACAGCTTGGAAATGAAAAACAAAGTTTCTCATAATTTCTTACAGTAGAAGTTAAAAAACATAAAAAATACATATTACTTACAATTCTTTTTTATAAAATTAAATATCAACAAAATTCATGATAATCACCAACGTTTTCAAATTATTTTGTAATTCAATATTTATAAAATGTTAAACTTTTAAAGCTTCTGATTGAACATTTAAGACAATGTTTCTCTTGGGTGTTTCAAACACTATCCAAACAATCCAAAAATTATTTAACCACATTTTTAGTAGAAATATCCATTACATTACCCAAAAATCTTAAAAATATGTAAAAGCACATTTTTTGATAGTTATTAAATGTTCAAATTTGTACGCATTTAGATAGGTATTTAAGCGGAGAGTAACGATTTTAATTATTTTGTTATTATTTAGAAATATTATTCATGGATACTTGAAACTTTTAAAGTATATAAAATGAAATGTTTTCGCAGAAGTTAATTCAATCCATTGTTTTACTAATAGTAAAATAAAATATGTCTTTAATAGTACCTAATAATATCATAAAATATACCATGGTAATATAAGCTGACAGACTCTTCACTCAGAATCGTTATTTGTATTCAATAATTTTATATCATTAAATTCAAATTTAACAAATCCATAACAGTGACCCACATAACACCTAATGTATCAGAACTGTACCATTTTTTATTCATAGGTTTTGAATCATTTTTCTTTCTGTACGATCCTCGTCGTTGAGCGATATGACACTTAAGAAAAGCTATAATATCCCTAGGGTTCTTTCCACTTAACATTCTGTCAAGTGCATATAACTTGTATCAACGCATTGTTTTTCTTTTTAAAAACAATACACTTTTCGAAAGTAACACCAGGCAATTAGTTCCTGAGAAGGAGAGGGGGGAGGGGGGTATTTATGAATCTTACAGACGGAAACATACATTCAACAGGCGCTAAAGAGCACAAGATGCAATTTCATTGTGTGAAATACTTTTACCCTGTAATATAAACTATACTTAGATGATTATATGCTATAATGAGAATAAGCATAATTTTAAAATTAAATAGTATCCAAAGTTCTGCGTGATAACTAAAAAAAAATGTTTTAAGTATATATAATATATATTATGTCAATTAATATTCAATAATAATAATATTAAAACAGTTATTTTTTGTATTGCTTCATATTGAGTCCCGACGTAATTTAATATTTTATTGTTGAAATCTTCATTAACAAATATACTTATTCAGTAAATTCATTTTCAAACATAAAACAATAATAATTAAGTATTATTACATAATTTCTGTTGTAACTGTTTCACGTCGATGCATTTTTTATTAAATTATATTTTAGAAAATAACGTATATTTTGATATCACTGAATAATATACGTACTATAAATAGGTATCACTACACCTATTTTATGACTTCAATAATTTTCTATATACATCATAACTTACTAGTATAACAATTAACTATTAAACTTAAAAAAGGCTATTAAATATGTTGTTTAAATACATTTTTTATCTTTTATAGTCAATTGTATTAGTTATGGTTTTGGTCGGATATTCACTGGGTGCACCGGGATACGGCGGTGGACACCAAGAACAAGAAGAACATGGTGGACATAAAGATAAATATGATGGACACAAAGAAGAACATGGAGGGCATGAAGAAGAACACGATAAACACAAAGAAGAACATGATGTACACAAATATGATGGACCAAAAGAAGAACATGAAGGACACAAGTATGGTGGACATGATTTTGGTGGACACCAAGAAAAGCACGGTGAACATAAAGAAGAGCACGATGTACACAAATATGGAGAGCACAAAGAAGAACACGGTGGACACAAATATGGTGGACACGACTTTGGTGGTCACAAAGAAGAACATGATGTATACGACTTAGGTGGACACAAAGAAGAACACGAAGCACACAAATATGGTGGACACAAAGAAGAACACGATGGACATAAATATGGTGGACACAAAGAAGAGCATGGTGGACATAAAGAAGAATATGATGTACACAAATATGGTGGGCACAAAGAAGAACATGAAGGACACAAATATGGTGGACACGACTTTGGTGGACACAAAGAAGAACACGATGGACACAAATATGGTGGACATAAAGAAGAACATGGCGGGCATAAAGAAGAATATGGTGGCCACAAAGAAGAACATTGTGGGCATAAAGAAGAATATGGTGGACACAAAGGACATGAACACCACGGTGACCACAAAGAACATGGCGGACATGACTTTGAGGGACACAAAGGAGAATATGGTGGGCATAAAGAAGAATATGTTGAACACAAAGAACATGAACACCACGGTGGACACAAAGAGCATGGCAGTCATCACGGTTCAGATCATCACGGACATGGTGGTGTTCACTACTAAAACTTCATTCGTGTAATGTCATCCGATCCCCGTTGACCACAATTTTCTGGGACATATAACTTAAAATCATATTATAATTCATGTAATAATTGATTCATAATACTATTTATTTCATAATTATTTATTTTTAAATTGGAAATTTTAAATTTATCAATTTTGTTATAGTACTATCTGTACCTAAACATTATTATTTAAGATTTCGAATTGTAAAGATTAAGGCATATTTAATTAAACATTTTTCTATTAAAAATATTTTTTTACATTTACATTGTGATCACTAAAATAAGTTTAATGCGATGGAAGAATTAATATAATGTAAGTCCTTACTCCTTAACGCCAACACAACATTTGACTACTTATACTAGTAAGCATTCAGTGACCCATTGACCAGAGCAGTTTGTGATTACAGAGGTAACAATTGTCACCCATCGACTTGGTACCTCCCTCGGTAAGGCACAGTTATTGAACTGAGTGTGAATAAAGGCAATAACTATATATTAACAATTGCTGTCTAACATTTTTCCGACCACATTTTTATTTGTTGAAATCTTCACAAGATTATGTAACCAATTTATAAGAAATTTAAACCAAAATTATTCGAGATTAATAATTTAACTCAAATCCCTTAAAATACGCTTACTTTTGCTTTAAATTTTTATTGGTAATAAACCATCAACAGTCGTGCTGGGAACTCGAGTGTATTTATTAAGCATGCTTGACATAATTGGACATTAAATACATGTTGATTGGTGATGAAACATCGTATTAATATAAACGGTTAAGTTCAATAAACGTCCATTGAAATAATTTAACGAAAAATAGTTTATGATTAATAATAACCAGGACGTTTTGGATTGTCACCCTTAAATTATTGTCGCTCAAAACTCAAAACAAAGTTGGATTTGGTAAATTCATAGTTATACCTATAAATATAAACATAAATATATTAGTTGTGTGTAACGTAGTATAAATATAGACACTTAGTGGTTGATTCATTTAACGAAGGACACTCATTTTTAAGAGTACTTATGTTTTAAAACATATTTTTTTTCCCCATGGTTTTAAGTCGTTACAAAAAAATCATATTTTTAAAAATTGTTTAACTCTACTATTGTTTTATGTTTCTCGCTTTGTTGAATTAAAACGTACAGTTTTAATTTCATTTTTTAAAGAAGAATATTTTTCTGAGTATTTCGATAAGTAAATATCGAATTTAGGTTTAGTGGTTTATGAGTTATAATTAGGGCAGAGGACTTGTAGCTTTTAAAAATCACCCAATATGCACTTAAATGTACAAAATTTGCATTTTAAAATTATTTTGCATATATTATGTATTATTATATGCATTAAGAATATGCATTCAAAAATAAGATTATTTGTATGAATATATTTTATTTAAATTTTAATGCCTGCAACCGACGTCCCCGTGGCCCGTACTAAAAATAATGTATCTTATTCAGTGAACAATTTATATCTGTGCAAAAATAAAATTAATAACCGTAAAATACATCTAATCGGAAATCCCGGAGACGTGTCTCTAGAAAAACATGCTTGTGGAAACAGTCAACAACCATATTAATAATTAATATGATCAAAGTTTAAAATGATTTAAAATTTTTTCAATATTATTTTGGTTGTATATTAAATATTTAAATAAAATAAAAATGTCGACGGTAAAAATATTGATAAAATGATAAATTATTGAAAATATGCATATTAACGTATAGATTCGAAGAAATATGCACTAAAACCAAAAAAACCTTGAAATATGCATTTATATGCAAAATAAAATTTCAAAACTAGCTTTGTTTCAGCATGAACCGTATTTGTTTCTTTAACTGCTATTTTTGTGATCGTGCAAAACAAATATACAAATGCTACAAGTTCTCTGCCATAGTTATAAATATTTAAAGTGTATAATATAAGAGTTCGATTTGACCCATGTTTTTTGGGGTAACCACATACCACTTCTCTTCTCTTGTCAAAACTTTAAATATTTCATATAGGTAATTATACCTCATAAACAACTGCCTGAAATTAGATTTTTATGAATTAAAAATAATCTACTTTGGGGTATAAAATTAAAACTGTATGTTGTAATTCAAAAAAGTAAAATATTAAGAAATATTAATGTATAAAATGTTTTAAAACATGCATACCTATGTTAAAAATGTTGAATTTTACCAATTTAAAACCATGTAAAAAAATGTTTAGTAATGAGTGTTTGATGATAAAAGATTTCCTCGGTATTAAAAACAAAAACATTTTTGCTTGAAAACTATTATAAATTAAACCTTAATATTGAAAAATATATGTTGCACATTGCATACCAAATATTATATTGTGGATATTATATTACGATGTTGGTATTACTTAGAAATTAAAATGGTTCTTATTAGATTAAAAATAGGCAAAAATGTAGAACCCGGGGTGATGGAGCGACGATCTTGATTTTAGTTATAGTTAATCTTAAAGACATGAAACTTTTTGTTATTACATGTTAAGTATGTTTTTATTTTATAAATACACAATTTAATATACAATTAAGTTTCAAAAATATTTAGACCGAGATGAATGCAAATTATATAACGGTATTATGTTCAAACCGTTCAAAGGTGCGTCAGTAATGACTTATGTAAATAAAAATAAAATATATATCATTTAATATAATAATGATCATTATATAATAGCTATTATATGCGTTGGTTTTGGAAAAAACTAGTTGAACATTCTGTATCCCTAATATAACAAATAGAAAAATATATCACCAATAGTAATATAAATAAGTTATAAAATATATCCTTGGGAACAGAAGCAATAATATACTATCTCCGTTCTTGATCGTTTTTCGTTTTCGACGATATTAAATTATTTAACGTCGTGTAATGACACTATAACAGTGACCTACTCCACGAGATAGGCGCACAAAAAATACACTCAAAAACTTCTATATATCAGTCTGGTAAGGGAGACAGTTTGCCTATTTTTATTTTCATACAATTTTATGTTTTAATCTCTTAGATTTAAAACTTAATAAATGCATTTATCCTTTACGTTTTACATTAACTAACACAACGACACATTTTAGTAACACAACAATCATTTTTCTTTTCATTGAATTCTATTATATTACTCATAAAAACGTTATCATAACATATTATTAATTAGATTTATTCTTATCTAGGTGTACCCAAACCCCAAAACAGTACATTATGCAAGAATAATCACACGGTTATTAAGTTGACGTAATTTTTACAGATTTCTCTAAAGTCTTTGATAAAGTCGATCACACAATTCATATCTCTATACTCCGTGGCATTAGTATTGGTGACTCTGTTTTTTTTGGATCTCTTCTTATATTTTTGATAAGAAACCAATAATCAAGTATAACATTTTTAAATCTTTTCCTTTTACAGTATTATCTGTTGTACCACAAGGTGCCCCCATTGCTCCTATTATATTTCTATTATTTATAAATGATTTAAATTTGTTTTATTCTAGAAAATTACTATTCGCCGATGATATGAAATTGTTCCGTCTCATAAAAAACAGTAATGATACATCTTTATTACAAGATGATTTAAATACTTGAACTAATTAGTGTGATATTAATAGATTACCTTCCATTAAATTTCGATAAATGCAAAACTATGACCTTCACAAGTTCTCGTAACTCAATTCATCACAACTACAATATACGAAATCACTCTTTGCTTTGTGTAAATTAATTTTGTGATCTTTTTTGTCATATTCCAATATTCGAATCTGATCTAACCTTTAATCAATATATCCAACATATTATCAATAAATCTTCTTCGATATTGCAGGATTCATTACGAGAAACTGTAAGGACTTTCAAAACCATAATACATTAAAAACTCTATTTACGTCCTTAATGAAATCTAAGATTGAATATAACCCAGTAGTTTGGTCTCCTTATTTAAATACGAAAATTCAATGCATTCTCAAAAATCGCTGTCTCATAAATGAAATGTTATTCGTGTACCTCATTCATCTCATCAACCATTGTTAAATACATTTAATATTCTAAGTTTATCAGACAGAAGAAAAATTAATGATCTAATATCTTTTTTCAAACTACTAAATGTTTTTTTCTTCTGTCCAGAGCTATTAAGTTTTTTTAAATATTTATGTCTTCAATTTAGAACTATATTATCGATTATTACTACATTATATTTAAATAATCAAAAAACAAATTATGCATTATCCGCTCCTATAAATATTATAATGCTATCTATCTTTAATGTTGAACAAATTGATTTTTTTAATTTTAAACTAAATTCTGATAAATCTTTCAATAGTTTCGTAAAACAACATTTTTATTATATTTGTTTCTGTGATTTATAATTATTAGAATTATATACGTAGTTATTTATTCTATATTTAATGCACCTACTAAGTTATGATTATTATGTAATTGGTTTCTTATCCGTAAATAAATATAATAATGATAATGATGTGATTTGCGCCAAGACTTTAGACGACATTATAAAATAATATAAATTATTATAGACATAATAAAGTTAGAGTATCGATAACAAAATTCGATTAGCCATTGTATCTGTCTTTATTAGAGAGCTATAATATAGGTGAAAAAAAATACTGTATAAATATTATGTTGACTGTCGTTGTGCACATGCGGATGTAAGTGTTATGATAATATATTAAGCACGTAATAAATATTTATTGGTAAATTCTAGGTTTTTCGCCAAAAATATTGAGAAGGTCATTGAATGGATAGACAATGAAATGAAGGGTTAGTAATGATAAATACAATATATTATTAATACTATCCTATAGTTTATTACTCAGACCATATAGTATGGACCCATGTGACTCAAATTTGACCAACATAGACGACATAAAAGTGACGAATTACTGTATTAGATGCTTGATGTGGGCATACGTGAGACAAATCTTCACATATTTAGCCATTGGTTACTGATTAGTGATTAATTTATATTTCAAGCTGTTTTACAAGGAATTCCGTGCAAAAGATTTTGTTTTTACACTTATAGTATACATTTCATGTAAAAAAATGCTTATACCATATTATTTCTACTAATATGTATTATAATCATAGTAAAACAATAATATGTAAGTATGTAACCAATGGCAACCATTTAAATAATCACAACAATTATAATTATTTTCAATGAGCTAAAAAAAATGAATATGAGACCTACCTAAAGGGCCTGAAAAAATAAGCAATTCCAAGTCCAAAGAAATTAATTGATATAACTTATATTGAAAACGGCCGAGTAGTTTTGAGTATATTAACTTCAGATAAATTAACACATATTTTAACATATTATAAATGTATTATAAATACATAAAACCGTATTAATCGGTAACTGAACGGGCTAGATAATATATCCTGTAATCTGTCTTATGATTTTTCGTATATAAAAAAACATTTTAAGTCGATGGCCTTGTTGGGGTTTCAGTCACCTCAAGTGAAAATCGATTAACGATAAACTTCGTCGCCGCCTAGGTAGGCAACTGCGTAGGATCATTCACAATATGCGAGCAGCTTATCAGGTAGCCAATCCAGCTGCGTTGGAATGCGGACACTACGATGAGCGACAGTAAATTAAATGAGTATTTTACGTAAAGGCATAACATCACATAAAATAAAAATCCAGAGAACATAAAATATAAACCATTTATAAATAAAATAAATTATACGTAAATCCAATGAAAAGCATTCAGTTTTTCCAAAATTTTAAAATTTTTGAAACTCTCTTTCCGTGCATAGGTCCTTTATTCCGCTTATTACTAACATGTGCTTACTATAACTATTATATAAGCTGTAAGCTGTTTGCCAATTGCAACCATTTATAAACATCGAACATTTTTTATTTTCATCATACATCTCAAAATCCTTACTTGGACCTCTACCATGCAACTTTTTCAATTTTTTTTCGGTAAAAACCTTACTTGTACTTTTTATGAACATAAAAAAAAAAATTAAATAAGCCAAATCGGAAAAGAAGTTTTCAGTAACGGACAGCGTTTAATTTTAATTTTAATTTATGATTTATTTTTTAATCTGTAAGACTGTAGGTACCTAACCAATGGCAACCAAAAAAAAAAAAAAAAATGTATGTGCATTATTTCTAATTATCACACTAGTTGTATGTATGCAAGAATATATATCAATTAAAAATGATAAAAAAGCAAGAAGCAACATTTTTCTTCATATGCACACAATTTATTCGTCTATTAGAGAGACTTTTTGTTAATATGTGCTTCAAATTATCTGGACAAGGTTATGCATAGTATAACCAGTAGATGTAAGGTATATTATAAAAAATATGTGGGTACCACTTATTATAATGATTGGGAAAACATTGATTTTTTTGTTTGGGTTTTTGCGCTTAATCGTAAAATATACCACCGTACATACAATATAGGTTATATATACCTATATGCTTTTGTACCTCGACCAGAATCAATGATCACCACTGCAGATCTTCGTTTTTTCTGCATAGGGTGTGAGTGAGAGAATGAGAGGGAAGGAAGGAGAGAGCACTGGCGAAAAACATGGTCTTTCAGACTTCAGTCTTTGCATAACATAATAACTGATTACCAGTTTAGGTGATTACCACCTCAACCACCACCACCTCTTGATCATTACCACCACTGCTGAGATCTAAATTGTTAAAATACAAACTTATCGCGAAAAATGTTTTGATGCATTGTAGGCGTATACGGAACTGAATTTTAATCTCGGTTGGCCATTAAAACACGGTACACAATACAATTTATAATAATACATATTACGTTATTATGATGCATATATACTTGCGAGTGCGAAAGCACGTCTTCGAATATCGTTTATAAGACGCTGCAGGTCAGGATAACGATCGCAGTTGCAACCCGAAGATTATCACTAAAGACTTCCAAAGTCTACTGAATTCGTCTTGCGAAAATACACAGCACATCCACTCTCCAATATGAACCGTCTGGTAATTATAATTTATAATATCTATTAAATGATATAGTTAAGGTGACGTGTACCCCTAAGCGTGTTAATAACGTACGTCCTTACCTAACTTACCCCTATATGATTTTAGATCAAAATATACGAGTATATTCAAAATATTATTGTCAAGATATAATTATTAATATAATATTAATTAAACCTTATAAGCTGTTTCTTGTTTTCTTATATAGTAAATAATACCATATGTACAATACATTTTGGTAATGCCACTAATGCTTAATACCTATAGGTACTTGAATTTTTTTTTATAGGTTATCTTTATTTTTATTTTAACTCTGCAGTCTTTTATGAGTCATATTGTTCTGATGTAGGTTATAAAAAGTAATGGCGGTTTTAAACATTTTTTTAGATGTAAGAGTAACAATGAATGTATTGATGTTACATTGACGTATTTTTCCATCTATATTCTATTATCAATGCCTGGAATAGTAAAAATCAGTATCTTTTCTGATAGGGAAGTGAATGTAGTGTGTACTTTTGAGAGATAAAAATTTTAAATTTACAGTAGTTTTCAAAATCTGGAAAAACAAAAAAAAATCAGAAAAATTGTAAATTTAGTGTTACCCAAAAAATAATGGATACTTTAAATTTTCACCTGATCCTAATAAAATATTCCACGAGCCATAACATTTTAGAAATGTTGACTCTTTTAAGCTATTTTTAGTCATGAGAAATCTTAAGTTTTGAAAAATTTTTTTAACCATAACCGACGAATAAGTTTTTGCTGGAATCAAAAACGAGAACATTTTCAATTTTTTTCAAATTATTTAATTTTCGCAGTTAAATGTAAACAAAATACATCAAAATCCCAAAAATCAATGATAACATTTTAAGGTTTAATAGAAAATTTCTCGTAAATTATTCTGCCTTAAACAAACAAAAATGTACCACAAAGTAACTTTATTTATAGTTATGACTCCATGAGATATGTTTGATTTGTATAATTTTTTTTTTGATTTTCTAATTTATTAGATATTTATACAAGTATTGCTGACATACTTTCTCCCCTTGGAATCGTTTCGTATATTATGATTTATCATTTAATTCAAATTAAACACATCCATTACAATGACATACTCAACAACTACTGTACAACAGAACGGTACCCACTTGTCCACCTATTTCATTATAATATGTCTTAAATAATTTAAATTTTTGTACGATATTCACTGTCTAGCGTTATATCTAAACAATTAAATTTAAATTACCAACGGTCCACTTATCGATCAATCACGTAAGCCATAAATAAACAAATTGTTCCCTCGACTATTGTAATTTTATACCTATAATTTTGTTTAACCTTTTAAAATACAAACTTAAAGAGCGACTGCAAAATTAAATTATTTGAAACAATTGTTTACCATGCATGTTTTTGGTGTTTTATTTAAATCTTAATAACATAGGTATTTCAGGAACATGTGAAACATTTTAACTTATGAAATACAAATTATTCTTAGAGATTAAACACTATAATGATAATAACACCAATTTATAATGTTTTAAAATGAAATATTATTCGGAGTTCAGTGTGATACCTAAAAATATATTTTTTAAGTTTATAATAAATTATAATAGAGTATTCATTATTATTGTGATTTTAAATCAAATAAAAATAAAAGATAATGATGTATTCAATTACCTATCAATAACTACACCTAATAACTGCAGATATTATATTTTTCTACTATCATTTTTGAGCTATCATAATATTATATTAAGCTTTACAGAGTTAAATTTTTTAGCAACTATCGCTAATTACATAATACTATTATTTTTATCTAACTATCATAATCATTATTGGTCTCCATAAGCTCCGTACATGTTTTTTTTGCTTAAATTGTTAAAAAAAAGTTTTTGGTGTCATTGTTACACAGAGATTTTTTTTAATACATTTGAGGAGACAACGTATATCTCTGAATATAATATACATGTCATAATATGATTAGGCACCAGCACACTTTTTCTATGACTTAAATAATTTTATAAGCAATATATGTTCAGTTGTTATTTTATTAAATATTGATTGATTTATTATATGTTATTTAAATTTATGGTTTGTCTTCTACAGTCGATCGTATTGGTTATCGCATTGGTCGGTTACTCAATGTGTGCACCGGGATACGGTGGTGGGTATCATGAATATAGTGGACACGAAGAACATGAGGAACATGGTGGACACAAAGAAGATTACGGTGGACACAAAGAAGATCACGATGGACACAAAGAAGAACACGGTGGACACGAATATGGCGAACACGACTTTGGTGGACACAAAGGAGACCACGATGGACACAAGGAAGAACACGGTGGACACGAATATGGTGAACACGACTTTGGTGGACACAAAGAAAATCATGATGGACACAAAGAAGAACATGGAGGACACAAAGAAGAATATTATGGTGGACATAAAGAAGAATACAGTGGGCACAAAGAAGAATACAGTGGGCACAAAGAACATGGACACGGCTCAGATCATCATGGTCCAGAACATTACGGTCCAGAACAACACGGTCCAGAACATCATGGTTCAGAACATCACAGTTCAGAACATCATGGTTCAGTACATCACGGTTCGGAACATCATGGTCTAGATTTTGAGCATGGTTCAGATCATCACGGACACGGTGGGCATGGTTCAGATCACCATGGACAAGGTGGGCATGGTTCATACCATGGCGTTGGTTACTACTAAGACTTCAATTGTATCGTCAATGCCATCCAAATCCAAGACCATTTTTTGGGATGCACAACTTAAATGTTGATATGAACTATGATATAGTTGTTGACTCGTAATATTATTTATTTCCTTATTATTGATTCCTAAATAAATTGTAAATTTTCTTATAATACTGTACCATATATAATATAGTATTTTGAATTAAAAAAATTATAATTCAACCAATTAAACATTTTTCAATAAAAAAGAATACTATATTGCATTTATATAATTAATAACTAATCTTTCCGATACCTTAAATAAGTACAATGTGATGTCTAAATTAATGGCATTCGTCGACGACGCTAAATACTAAAAAGCTTACAGTTAACCAGAGAAAATAAGTGAATACTGTTGTGACAATTGTCATCCATCGACCTTTGACCTCGTACATTACTCCCTGGCACGGCTAATGTGCTGCAAGTGTGAGGAATAGCCATAACTGCCGATCGCTGTTTAAAGTTTTGTCACACGACTACGCGAGTAGTTATAACGACTAACCCAGGTTACAAGGCAGTGTGTATGACACGAATCAAAATACGACGGAATAAAGATGACTTCATAACGTCCATCACGACCCACAGCTATCACCTAAATTCAAGGCACACCATTGTCAGATTGATAACCCACAGCTTTAAAATCATACATCTCATTAATTATGTAATTATTATATTTTTTTAAACAACACATAATGTATAAAATATAGATATTTTAGGAATTTATCGTTCTTTACTAACATATAGTTAGTATTACATACCACGGTTGAGTCCCACAGAGCCCCGTTTATAAAAAAAAAACCTTTAAAACAAAGGAAACGTGATGAAATGATCATTGACCGGCAGATTAGGGCACGTTACACTGTCGTGGTTATAATAAGAGTGTATTATACATATTAAATACCTCTGCATATAGGCTAATTATGTTGTTACAACAATGGAATTTTCACTGCAACAGATTCAACTACTGTCATTTTATCAATCAAATATTAAAATTGTAAGTTGCAATTTTAAAAATACCAACTTTCTTAAATTTATTGCCATTGTTTACACCTATCTATAATATTATATCGTACTTAACTAAAATAATATTTTCTGACGTTAATGGCTGTCTGCAGCTGACTTAATAGCCACTCTGTACATCTCACCGTTTTGATTTTTATTGCACCACGAATTAAAAGTTATTATAATCACTGATCAGTTTGTAATTTTTTTTCTGGAAATCATTTTTCCCAATAGGGTCGGCCAAGTAGCTTTGGTATTTGGTAAAGATTTAATCTTCGATAAGTAACTCAATGAACTGTTATATATTTTCTTATCAAATCAATGTGTTTGAGAAAAGTGTAAATTATAATCATAGTAGCTGTGCAATGAAATAAATAGATTTAAGAATAGTATGCTGAATTAGTTAGTATACTTTTTTTTTTTGTCTTCGAACCATCGAGTAGTATGATTTTCATTATAATACACGTCGTGTTTTATATAGTATGAATTAATCTAATAGTCATATAATATATTTAGCATAATATATTGGGCAAAAACTAGTTTATAATTCTAAATAAATATATACAATACTATACTATTATAATTGATTGATTATAAACATTATTCATAAATAAATAATAATACTATTAATTAGTATAAACATATTACTATGGTTCTTTGGAGTTTGGATACAACAAACAATTTTGTATACGTCGTCGTCTGACGTCTACACAAGGAAAATCAAAGCCAACAAAAACGTAGGTAATTATATATATTTTTTTACGAAGTTCAAGGTTATAGATAGTCGTGAATAAGGCTCCACGCGTAGTAGTTGGCCATATACATAGACCGAAAACCCGTTTTATTCCTATATATGTATAGATATATATGTTTATATATATATATATATTGATGTTATAGTAAGACCAATATATAAATAACATATATCTGTGTATACGTATATACACTATACACACTTGAGGATGTTACCATATTGTAAATTATATTACTGATGTATAAAAAAGAACGATTCATATGATAGGTATACGCTAAATATATTATTAATTATTATACATAGGTATATATTATACGGAGAAGCGTCAAATAATAATAATATACAATTATTATAATATGCAAATAGGCGTGGGAAGGCCTTGGCCAAACAGTGGGGATTTCCCCGCAGTCAAGTTTTTGCACGTATAATATTAGGTAAAACAATATAATTATGCATCCATCAAGTCTGCAGAGAGCGCGATTAGTATTCTTTTTGTAGATGACCCGTGTTCGTATGTATAATAATCTATGTAGTTGGTTTTCATTGTTTAAATCTCAGATCAATGGTCACTCTTTACAACTAGTACTTATCAGTGGCAGTACGAGAGGCTTATAATTGTGAGATAATAACTGTCTCACTGCACAAATATTATGGCTGTGGGTGGGTGGGTAAAGGGAAATAACTGGATACAAATATATGATATGCATTTACACACATTTTCCAACTATCTATTTTATATTATTATAGTTTGTATTAGGATTTAGACAATAATTGTTATTAGTTTACCGACACAGATAAAATAATTTTTCAACACCTACAAATAATGATATCGATCTTGATAATATAAGTTCGGTTAGTTGTTATCAAGACTCACTGATAAATCCAAAAATACTATATTAAGCCGTGTAGAATAAAGAGACAAACGAAAATTCAAATGACGTCCAGAAAAGGATCACTGGATTAAATTATTGCGCTGCAGTCGTATTACTCGCATTAGTTACATTAGTCCCGTGTACAGCATATAATAGGAATTCAACATTTTTTTGTTTTACGTTTTATAAACAATGTCTGTAACAATGAATATTTATAATATTGTACAGGTGGTAAAATTATGCATACATTATAAATAATATGAGTATGGTGTATATACGTATTATAAAATACGATTTGTATTAAAACCATACATAAATATTAATTCAACTATCTAGCCGATTAATTTTCTTTGTTCGCTTAACAATTTATTTTAAAATTATTGAAATATCTTTATATTGTCTAAAGTCTTTCTTATTTTATAAGTTAATTTGAAATAAAATAAATAAATGAATAAATATTATTTATTTATTTATTAACGGGCTTGGAGCCCAATAGAACAATACGATGTATAATAATAAATAAACTTGAACAATATAACATAAACATTAAAGTAAGCACAGTTTAAATAGTACATAAATAGTATAAATGGCAATAATAAAAGATAAAATGGTAAAAACAAATGATTTACAAAATGTTAAAGGAAGCTTATACTCGTTACCCATGCGCATAATATGATGAATGTTATTATTTCTACCATAGTTTGTGTTGTGGAATACACAGAGGTAAACCTAGTTGAGTGAGAGAGAACTTTAAAATGAACGAGTTTACTGATAAATCATATTCTCCCAATTATTTTTAATTGTTCAACAAATAATTTATAAATATCCTGTAGGTACTATTAATTACTCTGTACACAATACAATTTGAAATAAAATATATATTATTAATCATATCCATATTATATATCTGCATGTACTTGATTATGATTTATATTTATAAGTATAACAGTTAATTTGTTAAAAATATTTCATATTTTATATATTTTATACATTTTAGATTTTGAGTGGGGTGATGAATGCTATTACAATGCTATGTGTTATATTTTCCTATTGGGCAATAAAAGTGCTTCGATTTTCTTCAACAGCATATTTTGTGGTAGGAAAATGAATTTAATTGGAACTCCGGGTTTTCAAAAGTAAAAAATTACCAACCGTTTTCAAAAGTAGCAGGGAAAACGGGAAAATTGGTTTTCGACAAAATCGATCTTAGTTTTTGGTGAAACTCTAAAATAATTAACAAATTACCTTAAATAAATGAAACTTTTACTGAATGTATATATTAGCATTTTCTATACACCATAACATTGTCAAAATATTTTTACTCATTTATTCGTTGGGTCAGAAACCTTGAAAATTTAATACAAGACTCCTGAATATTGTTACAAATTACAATATCAAATGAAAAATATTACAAATGCATATTGACGATTTTGTTTTATAAGAATTTAAAGTTCAAATTTAAAATGTACAAAATATTTTGGAGTTAAATATTTATAAAATGTTGAAGTTGCATACCCGAGGATCAAAAAATTGAAACAAAGTTGCACACAAGTAAGTAAATTTGTAACCAAAATATCTAAAAATAAATAAACACATTTTTTGTATAGTTATTTTATGTTGAAATTACATATTATTAAATAACCAAGAATAATGAATTAATGTTATTTTGTTGTTTTTAAAAAATGTTATTCATGAGTGCTAAATTAAATTTTTTGAGTTTATTATTATATTTTATTTACCAACTAATGCTTAATAGTAAAATAAATGACTTTAATCACTGCATAACATCATCAAATATACTAAATTACTAGGTAATATTATAGGCTGACAGACCGTCTTCACTCAGAATCATTTTTCGCATTCAATGATTTTATATCATTGAATTCAAAACACCATTCATTACAGTGACCCACTTGTAACCTATTGTACAGCAGAGCGACATCCACTTATCCACTTTTTACCTTGTGCATACTAAAAAATAGTAACAAAATAATTATTACTATGATTATTCTTACATAACATATGTACTTAACTATAATTTGTATGTATAAATATGACAACATTGTGAATTAAAATAATTATTAAATAACAATAATTGAGACAATTATTGAGAAAACAAAAAAGAACATTTTCAACCAAGAATACGATACCAAGGACACGGATAGTTCTAAGTATGTTAAAGTGAGAAGGAAATGTGATTTTGTTTGGGGGGGGGGGCAGTTTACCTTAAACCTTTTAAAACCCGGAACTCAGTTTACCACAAAAAAGGTGTTTCGAATTCAGTTTACCATCTCCGTCCATTTTACTGGGTTATACTAGATTTATTTGGATGTAGGTACAAATTTCTACTTAAGTATTATTGTATCAAGTTTTAGCGATGTTATATTGAAATATTAAAGACAATCATCAGA